AAGAATTGCAGAAAAGAAAAGATAAAAAATAACTTAGTTTTACGATGAAATCGTCATAAATGATTATGATCATTTAAATGGGTGATCTGAAACTAGCCTGTCGTAAAAAAAATTCGGGATTTTCGAAATCACGTTGAAAAGCGGAAATTACTGTTTAAAAAAATAATTTAAATTTACGATAAAATCAGCTTAAAAGAAAGCGCGTTAAACATATAATTTAATACAAAATCTGTTAAAATTGATGTGTCAAAACGTGATTACTCAAAAGCGCGATTAAAAATGTTTGAAATTTTTTATTGTGTTTAGAAGTTCTCAAGGGCCGCAGGTTTCGCACCGCTAGAGTATGCGAAACAAATGACAATTAAAAATACTACAAACTTGGAAATATGTAAGGCTGAAAAACATAACTACAGCTGCAATTCATGATGTTTTAATAATATTAAATAAAAATTATTAAAATACAACTTATTGTTTCAATTTTAAAATTTCATCCATTTTAATATACTTGTGAATTAAACTTTTGTTTGGAGGTTCAAGTCCTAGTTCACTACTTCATAAGCTACAAAAAGTTTCCTTCCGTAAAAAATGTATGAATATAAGCAATGAAGTGTTTCATTTGTTTTGTCATAAAACCCAGTGGATGAGTTTAGACTTGGATTCTACGTCTTTCAATCAAGTTTGCTTTCAGTGAAGTTCTCTTGTTGTCTGCTTGTAACCTTAAGAAGAGATTGAAAAATCTTCATTTTATCAGCCCACACTTTTGATAATGGGTAGAAGTTTACAAATAATAACTTTTGTTGTTGCGAGACATGGAGGAAACTTGAATAGTTTTGAGCTCAACAAAGAGTTGCCATCAACAGCATCTGTGACACTATGCTTAGAGCTGCGAGTGTTGTACGCTAAACAATTTCCAGAGAAAGGTACCAATTTAAATTCTCACATTTTAAACTTCATAATAAATAAATAACAATAAAAGGTCATATTTTAGTATTTTTATTCATAAAATATTTTATTTCTGATAATTTCAGCTGACCTGAATTCAATGAGCTCTTTGATTTCACAAGCAAATTGCCTCAAACCCTTTTTACACATTAAAAGCTAGTTCGATTGTAGTTAAAAGCAAGAAAATATTTCATTTTCATTTCATATGTCCTGAAAATTAATGGTCGGTTTTGATACTTCAAGTGTTTAAATTATGTAAGGGAAAAAAAATTATTTTACCATAAGTTATTAAAAATTTAAAGTTTAAATAATATAGATGTTATGAAATACAATTAACCACCATTTATAAGAGTAGATTTTTTTTTATTTACAACAAGAAATGTAGTACAAATATATACATATTTATTATTTTTAAGAGAATTGTCAAGTAACAGTTCTTGAATACTTATAAAACCTTTATAATAATAATTCAAAATGACTAATACAGTATTTTTTAGAATATACAATTTGACTACATTTTTGTTTAAAATATGCTTTGAACAATCTAATAAATAACATGATAAAAAGAAACGTCACATAAAGAGTAACAAAATAAAGTTTTTCCAACAAACNATAACAAGCTATTTCTTTAAAAAAAAAAAAAAAAAGGAGTGGATTTTTAAATTAATTTTTTTAAACTATAAAATTAATATTTTTTTAAAGTCAGCAATTAAATAATGAAAAAATAAACACAAACAATAAATACAATTACAAAATCATAAAAACTTATGTTTTCTAGAAAATTGTAAATTTTTAATTAAAATTGGTTTATAATGCATGAGCATAAGTCGGGATAGGTTTTGGTCAGAATTCTCTGACCCAAAATAAATTTAATTACTTTTTCACTTAAGAGAAAATAATAAATAATATTAAATACTAATATGTATTAAAATCTGCATCTGATTTTGAAAGAATTGAGTTTAACAAAAATTCAGTCATAAAAATCAAAAATGTATAAAATATAAATAAATTTTCCCCATAAACTAATTTAAGTGAACTTTTCAATTTATGAAACGTTTCAACAGGGTATAAAACTTACACTTAAAAGAAAAAAAATTATATAAATGTTAAAGTTATACACATTAATTATAACGGCTTTTATAAACTTTGAAATATTTTTTTCAAATGATTGATAAACATCAGTTTAAAGAATGAAATCTAAAGTGTATAAGGTGTTTTCATTTTAAACTAGTACTTAATTCTAAAATAATAAATTACTCTAAAATTATCAATAGAGATTTTATAGCAAAAAAAATTTTTTTTGACAGTAGAAAAGAGATAACAAAAGTAGAATAAATCATTTCAGATGTATTTTATACAAACAGTTTTATTAGTAAAATAAAATATATGTTTTTATAAATATTAGGAATGCAGAAGCAGGCTATCCATTTTGCATTTTTTATCCATTCATGCATTTAAAAAGAAAAAAAGTGAGAATAAATACAGTAAAAATCAATAGCAGGAAATTTACTGTTTTTCCTTTTATAAGTAAATACAAAGTTTCTAAACTGAAAAATAGAACAAAGGGAGCATAAAATACATAACTATTGAACCATGAAATAAATAAATTATTTTCTCACTATTTTATATTAAAAGTATTCCTGCAACAGCCTGTTGTCAGCCAAGCCGATAGAGTTTTGTGACAATAAAATCAGCATTGCCCACTGACCGTATTTACTTCAAAGTTGGTAACTAAAATTTAAAGCTCAATAGATTTCAAGCCACCGTGGTTAGAACCCCAGTCCTTTACAGTGACTTATCCACTATGACTCAAATATATATTGCAGTCTTAGATACAAAGTTGCTGTTGCAATGATGATAGATATTGGATAATATAACTCTGTTTTTGGTGGTGGGTCTTATTAGAAATGTGAAAGCATGAAAAGGTTTGGATACTAAAGAAAAGAATAACGGTTGAGAAATTACTGGGAAAATGTATTCAAACTACTGTTCATGTTATAGCTAATGTTTTAAGCTTGTTCTAAACAGAGTATCATTGATATTAGATCCCCTCAGAAACCATGTGCATAACATAATAAGGTATATTCATTAAATCAGACTTGTACTGTAGCTTTAACAATGAACTAATGCAAGTTCCAGGGATGAGATTAGCCAAAAGGCAAAAAAGCTGAATTTCCACGATAGTAAATTTTACGCAAGTGCAACCCTTTTATAATAAATTCCAGACAGTTTAAGGTAATAAATAATGTGTTGACATACAATTGTGTACTAATCTATTATTATATAAATGATTACATTGCTACTTAACATTTAGTGAAAATAAAAATTACCAATTGAAAAAATAAAGCTGGAAATTATATTTTTCCTCAGTTCACATAAGAGACAATTATTACTTGAAAAACTACCTGGTTTAGCAAATTAAAACTACTGAGAATATACATTAATATTTCATTTCTTTTAATAA